GTTTTTCCACTTTTCTCTGTGAACTAAGATTAGCTGACCTGAAATTGCTCTCAGTGGCTTTAATTAACACACATCAAACCTTTCAAATCAAGGTCTTCAGTCTTTTATTTTAAAAATAGGGAGTTTAAAAGCCCATGAAATCACAATGAGTACCGCCTTACCTCTTCCCTCACTCCTCGTTCTACTAAGAGATCCTTGCTCTCCAAGAATTTGTGTAACACAGAGTTAGATGAAGGAGAAGGCAGAGAGATGGTACTGATTAGATTAGACAGATGACACTACTCTCAGGCAGGCTGGTGGCAGTGGGAATAGAAAGGTATGAAGCAAGTCATGCAGAAAAAAGACAGCGCTGTACATGTGAGTGAGTCTAGGAGCAAACAATTCATGTTTCAAAGGCGACTGCCACTGCATGTTGAGCTTAGGTAACTGGGAAAGTAGTGGAAGCAATGGAAAAATATAAAAATGTATTCACTGCACTGCAGACAGTGTTATGCCTGTGTCTCAGCAAGCTTCTGAGGGAATTACTATCAAAATTTTGCTATTCTAGGTGACATGCCAAAAGGTTAGGAATTTGCACAAAAGTTGTCGATGTAGCAAAAGTAGGCAGATCCCAGACCCAAAACCAGATTACCTTCCAGCCAGTGTTCACTGCTTCTAAGAGAAACTGACTTTGATGAAAAGAAGGACAGGCTCAGTGATGAGTCTGCTGCATATGAAGAGCAAGCAGACGCCGGCAGGAATGCCCACGGCAGGCAACCTGAAATGAGGACTCGCACGTAAGAGAGAGGTTCAACTACTCGATGGCTGTGCCACAGGGAGGCAAGAGGTAAAGCCAGGAGACTGGATGCCATCTTTGTAGAACTACATAACCAAGACAGACCATGAGGAGTTCCCACAGTGAGATCTTAGAAGAAGAAGAGGAGCCATCAAAACAGATGAAAGATAGGCCAGGGAAGTAGGAGAGAACCAGGAGAAAAAAGTCCTACACGGGTAAGAAGCAGTGATTCTTCTGCGTGAGAAGGATGGTCAAATGCTACAGAGTGTGGACAAACAGAGGCCGCATATCAAACCTGACAAGCTCAGGGGATGCCTGCACGGTGACCTTACAAACTCAGAGACCTAAAGGAACCACATACGAGGGGCTGGAATTAAATTTTTCTAACTAAAAACCTTTCATGGCAGGTAGTCATGTGCTCGGGTGGTATTTCTCCCTAACAGAGGTCAATCTTCACCTTAACTGAGCCTGTCTGTTATCTTTTTGCATCTATGATAACATACCTTTGGAATGTCAAAATAATTTCCTTTTCTTAGTTCCCTCAAAGCACAATCACAAATCCCCTCATTGTTACTGCTACCATGTTCTGTGTTGACTATTAACTATTCCACGAATGCAAAAAAATTTTGTCTATTCATTACTTTTATCGAGTCCCAAAGACTTCCCACTTTGCCTTCTCTTGCCTCCCTAATCTGTCGTGAATGGAATTCATGTAACTTCTTTAATCCTCCTCCTTTGACTGTAACAGATAAGGTAAGATGCAAAACTATCATTTTCCGGAGCATTTTTTCAATCTGTTGAGATTTTGCTTCCCAGTAATTGTCATCAGTTTGGCTTAAATAAAGTCATAAAAATTCTTAAAGATTTGGATGTTTCTAACATCGACGAGAGGGATGGCTCCAATCAACAAATATTAAGTACCTACTATGTGCAAGGTACTATTCTAAGTAAGTCTCAGAGAGACTCCAATTAGTGAAATGGATGAAAATCCCTGCCATCATGAAGCTTACATTCTACTTGGGGGAGAAGGATAGTAAGCACAAAGATGTGAAATACAAGCAAGAATGATTTTCCAAATGTTATTAAATAAATTATATTGTAATACTGATTAGCTGCCTATATCCCCACTTGGTGTATATCTTTCATTCATTCAGCCAACAAATGTTTATTGAGCATCAAATAAATGCTGGACAAGGGGATGGCAGCCTAGGGTCCCTGTCCACAGGTGCACCTGGTGTTGGCAGGGGCAGGGGAAATGGGGGGTGAGGAGGGGGTGATAATAAACGGGCTTGATGGCTCTATAAGTAAACAAAAGGTTGATTTCAGTTTGTTTCTGCAATACATAAAAACAGAGCATCTCTAATAGTCAAATGCTATTAGCCGTGGCACGGCGTATGCCGCTTGCAGGTATTAGGAGAAATGAGTGACAGGTGCTGGGCTGCTCTACAGGAGGCTTTGTGCCTGGTGCCTGGAACATGCTGGGACCCTGCTGATGTCTCAGCTGACAGAGGCCTCTAGGCCTGTCTAGAGGGGTTCAGGCCCCTGATAGTTTAATTGAAGAGCTCAGTGCATATTAAAGCACTACACACTTGATTAAGCTATTAATACATTTAATAACGTCACTAATAACCAATAAAATTAAGTTAGTAAAATTGTCTTAGCACACACAAATTCATTTATATTTGATACAGTGTCTTACACGTAAAATCAGAGTTTTCACCTAGTTAACAGTAATAATAGCTATTATTTATTAAGCGCTTCACTTGGTCTAGTTATAATGCTAAATACTCTACACCCTGTTTTCATGTAATCCTTATAGCAACTCTATGAGGTTGGATACTGCCATCTTCATCCCCATTTTAAGGCTGAAATCATTGAGACTGAAGAGAGACTGAGGAGCTTGCCCACGGCTGTGCTCAGCCGACAGCTGGCTGAGCGGGGCACCCTGCAGCCTGAGGTACCCTGATGGGACCACGCTGCCGAGTTCTTTGCGGAAGAAGAACAGGGAGTAAGACCACCACCCTTCTGCACCCTGGAGGCTAAGTCAGTACTTTCATTGAGCTAAAACACTGTGGAGGAACCTGTTTTTAAAATATTTTACAAAACACTATGGAATCTTCTATTGGTTAGATGCAAGTTTGAAGTCCAAATAAGAACCAGGAATTTTGTTAGAACATACACAATGCAATTTAGTAACACTTCAGTTATTATTTTAAAACCAGCAATGCACCACACCAGGACTCAAAAGGCCTGGTTCTAACCCTGGCTGTGCGGTGCCCTGTCATTTACGTTATCTCTCTGGGCCTCAATTTTGTTCTCTATAAAACATGGGGATTAAACTAAACGGAGGGGTTCCAATTTGTTTTGATATACAACTCTTATTCAAACAAAGTCTTACTTGAAATCCAGCATATAAAACACACTAAAAGCTGAGCACTTCTCAGATTATTTTTTTACGGGGATGCGCGTGGGGCGGGCATGGGGCGGGGCAGCCCCCACAAGGCCAGCTCCCTGCTAACCTCCTCGCCCCTCAGCCCCCGGCCCACAGCACGGCAGTTCCAAGTAACTCAGGTGGAAAACTTCTGCCCCGAATTATCTCTAAAGACACCGTGGTCCTCACTACCCGGACTGGCATGGCGCCTGTCACATAGTAGGTACTTAATAAAGACTTGGAAGGAAACAAATGAAATATTATTCTGCCTTTTCGGAAATGCAGATATGTAGTTTTCATTTCCTTTGCTGATTGACTGAGGTAGTTAAAGTGCTAAGATGGATCCTGGGGGAAACCAAATGTTACATTTATGGAAAAGCTGCTTTTAGATACTGAAGTGGCTTCCAAGTTCACCGTGGCCATAAGTTAAGGGTCTGTCAGCACTTCCATTATGAAAACCGCTTTGTGGTTTCATAACTTCACCATAAAAGTTTGCTTCAGGCTATCCTTCGGCACACAAATTGAAAACCTCGTTTTAAGCCAAAATGTGGGAATTAGAAAACAAACAAGTGATTGGTTTCAGACATAGTTTTGTACCTGTCCTAGCCAAACAAGATTTATTATGTGGGCAATTAGAGTGGACTAAGCCACTTGGTTCTTAAAAAATAAAAAAGGAGGGAAATGACCAAACAATTTATATTTCAAAAGGAGTCCCTGAATATCATCAATCATTCCTTCTGGCTATTTTTTTGTCATATACTTTGTATCCCACATGGATGAGCTCTAGAGTCTATTTACATCTCCCTCCTTCCCTTCCTTCCTTCCTTCCTTCCTTCCTTCCTTCCTTCCTTCCTTCAAATTTTCTATTAATCATATCAGAATGATGACATTGCCTTGTTTTTAGCAGAAAGCAAGCAATGTAAATGAGAACTATGTGACTTTGCGACTCTGATTACCTAAATTACAAGCCCCATGTCATCAGCATCCTTCTTGTAAACTTTTTTATGTCTCCCTTGGGCCAAGCACAATTTTGAGCACCCAGAGACGGTGGGCTCGTTACTAGTTCCCAGGCTCTAGTCTCACTAGGGAGAAACCCAGGCATGGGTGTGTGGAGCTTAACACTGAATGTGTCAGTCCTCTTAGCTCAGAATACAACTGAATGAAGCCGGCTATAGTTACTGTCTATCTGCTCATGATGGACGCACATCCTTTAATTATGAATCTGATTCAGTGCTTGACAATAGGCTGTTATGGTGTGGGGAAATAAACGAATTTTGTTCCGGATTGAGACTCTCTATCCTCTGTATAACTAAAGTGCCTTGCAGGTCCCTCTCACACTGTTGTAAATTACTGCCAAATATCTGCCTCCCCTTCCAGACTGCACTCTGTGGTGGGAACTAAATCTCATTCTTCTCCATGTCATAACTGTCTGGCACAGGGAAGGTCCTCAAGAGATGTTTGTAGAAGGAAGGAAGGAAGAAAGGAAGGAAGGAAGGAAGGAAGGAAGAGAGGGAGGGAGGGAGGGAGGGAGGGAGGGAGGGAGGAAAGGAAGGAAAGGAGGGCGGGACCAATCTCTCTGAACTGGCTCCCCAGATGTCTCCTTTGCCACGCCCTCTGCCCTGTACAATGTGCCCTCTCCCACAGAAACCAGTCAGATGCTTCAGCAGCCACCACTTATCTTTGCAGAAATATTTTTTGATAGAAAGAATGCAGTTCTGGTCATAACAGCCCAGGAAAGTATTTTTTTAAGTCAAAAAAGAATTTGAGTCAGAAAAACAGGAAATTCCTAAATACCTGGGTAGAAGATCGCAGCCCACTCCAATCTCTCTGGTTTCCACTTCAGTCTTGGGCTGGGTTTCTGTTAAATAATCCAACTTGCTTTGTAGTTCATTATTCTAGATGTGAGGGGGAAAAAGTACTTTTAGTGAAGCAAATATGCTCCCTGACAAATATACATGATACAACTTACCTATATTATCAGATTTCCCCCATCACAATGTATTTATCAAATACCTTTTACACAGTAGGAATTAAGAAATATACTTACTGTATCTTTACAGTTTTCTGTGCATATACATACACATGTATCCAATTTTACATAAATGGAAACAAACTAAATATCCTGATCTATACATAAATCTGTTTTTTCACTTAACAATTTGTTGTGAATACCTTTCCACATTTATTAGTTTTCTTTTTATGTCAACAAACTATTTTAATGCATTCATAGCATTCCATTGTATAGATGTACATTATTCATTTAACTAGTCTCTTATTGATGGGAATTTAGATATTTAATGCTTTTTTTGCAATTATAAATAAGGTACAGCTCAGCTTTTAATACTCCCTTATTAAACTATAAAATGAGTAAGTCTATTAATTTAATTTAGTGGGAAATACCTCTATAACTTAATAATTAGTATTTCATAGGTGTGGAAAATTCAGAATCTCAAACATATAAAATAGAACAAGCTCTTTGGGATTAAAATTAGCATTCTAATTAGTTTCTTTTTTCAGGCCAGGGCCAAACATTACGTAGGTTGATGATTACATGCTCGGGAATTGGAAATTTGCCCCATGGGGGAAATGAAAGACAAAAGAGTAAAAAAGTTGCGGATATTGGAATGAAAACACATGAAGTGATGTTGCCTAAAATATAAAGAGCAAAACATACACAAAAATTCAGAAAAAGGGTAACAGTGGTTATACTGAGATTTTTGGATATTTATTTAAAAGTTCTACATATTTTTCTATAATGCTAGACTAAGTTTTCATGAAGCAATGACCATATCTATCTTACTGCTTATATCCTCAGAGCATAGCATGGGAGAGATGCAAGATAAACATTTATTGAATAAAAAAATGTATAAGTGCTTTTACAGTGAGCATATTATTTGCATAACTAGAAAAACTTTAGAGTATTTGTCTTCTTTTTAAGTTGCAGTTGAAGCTGAAGCACTGTTTTAAGGCACTAGATAGCACATAAAAGTTTAAAAGTTCTATGGAAACAGAAGTTCATTTGTTTAAAAGAAAGAATGTGGGTTACAGCTCAGTAGCTCTTGCTCTGAAAGGATGAGACCAGGGGCAAAGCAGCAGCTCTGGTAAAAACTCGTGTTCTGCAGGATATAAAGAACTATGAATTCTTTCTAACAAATGAGAAATGGTATAAAGGAAGAGAATTCATTTCAGATTCCTTAGCAAGTCATGACAGATCTATCACCTGATTCTCAGTATGGGAGAATGGCCCTGGCTCACTGACAGAGATACATCAACATTCTCTCTCTCTCTGTCTCTGTCTCTCTCTCTCTCTCTCTCTCAACATTCACACATACACACACACACACACACACACACACACCCTCCCCTGGCAATATGTGGACTCTCCCATTCATAAGGAAAAAGAAAGGCAGAGGAGGCCTGCCCTTTAACAAGTTCCAACAATCCCATCATCTTATCCCTTTCTCAGTGCATACTTTAATCATTCTGATTTCACAGAATGCTGGGGCTAGTAACCTGTAGTTAGGGATCATACAAGACAAGGTTAGCAAACACGCCCCAAATGGTTCCGAGTGAATAGTGGGCAGGTAGCCCCAAACCCTTTATTCAATTTCATGGGAACTCTACGTGTGCACATCAGATACTTACCAAAGCACCGAAACAAAAAACTTATTAAAAAATTAATGCAAGTGATAAAAATAATCGGTAAAAAATTTTTTGAGGATCTACCATATAACAGATATATAGTATGTAACAGTAGGTAAGGGGAGGTGGCAATTAAAAGAAATAAGGCATCATCTGCAACCCTTGAGGAGCTCCATCTGTAGGACCACAGGTAACTAAGCAGAAAATAACTGAACAAAGTTAAGCCTGTGCCAAAGGGACCCACAGAATGTAAAGAGGAAATTCACAGGAGATAGGGAGAAGGACTGAACTGAAAGTGAAAATTTCCTGGAGTTAGGCAAGAGAAATAAAGTTAAAGAAACAATTCCAGCCTTGCGGAAACATACCAAGTTGAAAAAAAGCACCTTATGCAGGATACAGGTGGGCAGGAATTAGTTATGAAGGGCTACATACATGTCTACAGACACCTTACACCCAATCTTATGAGATCAAGTCAACAATAGATTTTATGTCAATCACTTGGGGTCCCAAGTAAAAATTGTACTGAAAGGAAATGAAACTACAGGCAGGAAGATCAATCAAAGAAGTCATTAAAATTTTCCAGTTAACAGACAGAGGGGTGCACTTCTGGTATAAAGGAGTATACCACTTAAATCCACTTGCAAAGAATAACTATAAACTCTGGACAAAGACAAAAGACAACTACTGGGGTCTCTGGGGATTTAAAAAGGACAGGTGAGTTTTAGAGGGGAGGTAAAACATGGGGCAACTGACAAGTATAGAACAGCTTTTTCGTGATTCATTTGTTTATTTGTTCTCAGCTTTGCCCAAGAGCAATAGAATCATGGTGGTAGCAGCACAGATACAATAAAAATTCAATAGGAAAATCATCTTTCTGGTAGAATAAACCAGGGAAGAGAGTCCAGGACAAGGAGGGCTCCCAAAAGTAAGGCAGAAACCAAAAAGGAGAGGAAGAAGTCAGAGACCCTAATTCTGCATAGAGATTCAGCTCGTCTCTGGCAGACCCCTGCGCCATGCATGTGGGGGCATGCTGGAAAAAGTGTGCAGCCACGACTTAGGGAACGGAACTGAGATCTGAGTCATTATCCACCACAGGCACAGAAGGAGGATTAACCAGATTCATTACCTTCTGAAACAAAAACCTCACTGCTCCCCAGAACAATAAAACAGAATTCCAAAGTCTCCACAAGAAAACATTTACAATGTCCAGATTATAATCCAAAATTACTTGATATGAAGAGTTAGAAAAATGTGATCCATTCCCAAGAGAAAAGAGAATCAACAGATGCCTATCCTGAGATGACTTAGATGTTGGAATTTGCAGACAAGGATTTTATTTTATTTATTTTATTTTCTCTCCCCCACCCAGACAAGGATTTTAAAACAGCCATTATGACTATGCTCAATGAAGTAAAGGAAAAATATGCTTGTAACTGATAAATTAGTCTTAGAAAATCAACAGAGTGAAATAGAAAATATGAAAAAGAACCAAATGGAAATTTTTGAATGGAAAAAGACAATGCCTGAAATTTCTTAAAAATCACTAGATTTGATTAAGGAAAGAATGGCAATGACAAAGGAAGACGTCAATAAACTTGATGACACATTAATAGAAATAATTTAATCAAAATAAAATAAGAAAGTGTTGAAAATAATAAGTGGAACTTCATAAAACTGTGGGACAATTCCTAAAAGCCTCACATAGGGTGCTGGAATCACAGAAGGAAAAGAGAGAGAATCTAGACCAGAAAAGATATTCAAAGAAATAATGGTTAAACTTTCCATATTTGATGAAAGACATAAATTTACAAATTCTGGAAGTTCAGTAAACCCCAAAAAGGATAAAGTCAAAGAGATACACACCTTGCCACATAACAATCCTATGAAAACCCACAACTAAGGGAAAATCTTGACAGCAGCCCTGTATAAGTGAACAATCAATGGAACTACCGAAGATTTCTCATCCAAATACATAGAAGCCAGAAGACAGTGAGCACTAAGAGAAAGACACTTTCAGCCTAAAGTCTCTCTGTTTCAGTAATGATGGTGTAACAGAGACCTTACTTGCAGGTAAAAGAAACTAAGTGAATCTGTCAGCATCTGACCCTCCCCACATAAAATGCTGAATAAAAGTTCTTCAGGTGAAAGAGAGATGCTTTCAGAGAGAAACGCAGATGTTCAGGAATGAATGAAGAACATCAGAAGTAAACAGTCTATGCGTGAATATGAAAGACTCTTTTCTCTTTTTTTCCCCAAGAAAACCACATTTAATATTTGGCATATTTCCTCTGGGCTTTTATTATTCCCCATTCTCTCATATGTAATTAGATTATACTATAAATACTTTTGTACTTTGTTCTTTTCATTTATATGCATTTCCTATTGTAAACATTTTAATGGCTGCATTATATTGTCTCTTAATTTCTATAAAATACATATGATTTTTAAAGCAAAAATTATAGCAATGTATTGTGGGTATATAAAATATATATAAATATACACACACACAGACACACAATACATATGATAATTATAACAGCAGGGAGAGGGGTAAATGGACATATATCATTGCAAGATTTATACATTTTATATGAAGTGGTACAATATTTTCTCTAAGTGGACTGTTAATAGTTAATGATGTACATTTTAATGCTTGGAACAATTACTATTAGAGAAAAGAAAAACAGCAAAATTCCAACTGATAACTTAAAATAGAATTCTAAAAAATATTGAAATAGTCCAAAGGAAAGGGAAAACAAAACAAATAAGCAAAAGAAACAAAACAAAGGGAATAAAAAGAAAACAACAAAATAGTAGATCTAAATCCAATCATATCAATAATGATTAAATGTCAATAAACTACATACTCCAATGAAAAGACAGAGACTATCAGAATGTATTAAAAAGAGCAAGGCCCAACTTTATATTGTCTATAAGAGATGCACTTTAAAAATAGAGATACAGCCCTGGCTGCTGTGGCTCAATGGACTGAATGCCGGCCTGCTGACCAAAGGGTCACTGGTTCAATTCCCAGTCAGGGCACAAGCCTGGGTTGTGGGCCAGGTCCCTGGTTGAGGGCATGTGAGAGGCAAACACATACTGATGTTTCTCTCCCTTTCTTTCTCCCTCCCTTCCCTCTCTAAAAATAAATAAGTAAAATATTTAAAAATAAATAAATAAATAAATATAGAGGCACAGATCAGTTGAAAATAAGTGGGTGGAAAACATATACCATGCAAACACTAAACAAAAG